CACAGCACAGCATGCCTACCCCCGCCCTACACCCCACACAGCACAGCACCCCTCTCTCACACACAACACCCCTCTCTCACACACAGCACCCCTCTCTCACACACAGCACCCCGTCTCTCACACACACACAGCAACCCTCATACACACACACAGCAACCCTCAGACACACACAGCACCCCTCACACACACATACACTACACCCCTCAATGCAGTATGTGTGTGTATTCAGCAGTCTGTGTGTGTGCGTGTATTCAGCAGTCTGTGTGTGTGCGTGTATTCAGCAGTCTGTGTGTATGCACGTGTATTCAGCAGTCTGTGTGTGTGTGTGTATTCAGCAGTCTGTGTGTGTGTACTCAGCAGTGTGTATGTATTCAGCAGTCTGTCTGTATGTGTATTCAGCAGACTGTGTGAGTGTGTATTCATCAGTCTCTATATTCAGTCTTGTGTGTGTGTGTGTATTCAGCAGTCTGTGTGTGTATGTATTGCATTTGTTGGAGATACTAATACATATAAGCTTAATTTTATCTATTTATATCATTATTTAAAATTTGTATCATTGAACTCTGTTGTTGTGTTCTTTTAAAACAAAAGTTGTTAATTAGTTTGGACAACAGTATGAGTTGTTTTTTCTAAACTTAAACCTCAGTATGGAGGTTTAATTGCCGTGTTCGCACTTTAAGGAAAAAAAAGTTGGCATGTATTGCGGTTTGGGCACTCGGGCTCAAAAAGGTTCGCCATCACTGTCCTAACGTTACTAAGGGAAGATAATTAATTGCGAAGGTAACAAAGAGTCTTCACACTAGGAAAAAGAGAAATAAATTATCGTCTCTTGGGTAAGAGAATCAAAACCTCTTAACTAACATTAAGACCATGTATTCAAAAGCAGTGTGTATAAAGTACTCTGACAAATCTTAAGGCTATGAATTAAAGATTGAGTACAACTATAAATGCATTCTGTAAAGAATAAACTGAAAACCCTAGAAGATTACGAAAATTAATTGGTAACAAAATATTGAGGTGTTGCGAAATACCTACCTAGCAGGGTGGGGAGAGTATTCCACGTTGGGAAAATATTCACGTCCTGCCTTTAATAAAATTTAGATTATTCGGTCACTAAGGTTAGAATAGTCCCAAATTTTATGGCAAGACAGGAGGCTTCATATTTGCTGTTTTAAAGCGAGGAAAACATTGAAATAGACACATGAAGTGACTGTCTAAAATAAAAGGTGCAGAAGGTAGATTCCATGGACCAATCCGTGGAGGCTAAAATTTCCACCAGAGAACCACCAGCCGTAAAGGCAGAAGAGGTGGCCGCGTCTCTAACAGAAAGAGCACGAAAAGATGAGTCAATGCCGGCTAGGACCAGAAGCCACTTGTTCCAATGAGCAATTGTGGGACATGACACTGGCTTGTGAGGACACACATAAGACACCAGTAGGGGGCCCGCTTGTGTTCTAAGGGAAGTAATGCGAAAGATGTAATGTCTGACACAATGAGTTACACATAGCGTGGGTTTATCCTGGAAATAAGGATAGCTCATTGTAGACGAATTGGTTTTAGTGTGTCGGGTAATGGAGACGTTTACTCCCTCGGGAGTAAAGTCAATGGCATCAACGTCAAATGCTCTGATGTCCGAAGCTCTACGAAAGGATACAAAACAGAGAAGTAGTGCCAATTTGGCTGATGGTTGTCGGAGAGAGCGTGCCTCATTAGAAGGTCAAGCCTCTAAAAAGGATAGAACAATAGCAACATCCCAAAACTGATTCTATTTGGGAACCGGAGGTCTTGCGGATGCCCCGCAAAACTCTACACATGGAAGGATGTTTGCCAACTGAGGAGTTGTCAACAGAGTTATAGGCCGCAGAAATAACGGAACGAAAAACATTAATCAACCAATAGGATTTACCCTGCTCGAAAAGGGGACGACAGAAAGTTCATGATGTTAATTAAAGAAGCTGAAAAGGGATTGATGTCCCTCTCCAAACACCAGCCACTCCAACGTCGCCATGCCGAGAGGTAAGACCGTCTTATTCCTGGGGCCCATGAATCCCATAGGAGTCCTCGAGCTAAAGACGTTCCAAGGTCCCCTGAAATGGTCCAGGCCACCAATAGGAGGATGGAAGTTGTCTGATGGATTCTTTAGATCGTAGGAAGTGGGTAGAAGTAGGAGATAGTCCCCCGACATTTCCAGGAGATAGGGGAACTATGGTTGGGTTTGCCACAGCCCTGGGGGGAAGGCATATGCTCCGGACATTGGCCATGATTGTTGGAGGAAAGCATCCCCTGCCAGGCACGCTGGGTCTGGAAGCCAGCTGAAAAATGTGTCTGTCTGACGGTTAAGGCGGGATGCAAACAGGTCCAGGGTGAATGGTTCTCTCAGGAGCTGGAGACGGCGAAATATTTGTTGTCCAGTTGCCAATCGCTGGAGTCCCTCTAATGACGGGAAAACCAATCTGCGACGAGGTTGTCGGAGCCTGGTAAATATTCTGCACGAAAGGGGATGTTCCTGTCCAGGCAGAATTGGTACAGTTCCTTCGTCAGATCTGATAGCATCTTTGATCGGGAGCCACCTAGGCAGTTCACATACTGTACTGCTGACACATTGCCCATTCTCAGGATAAGGCAGCAATTTTAAGCCTCCTTGGCAAAGCTGCGGATCGCGAAGGAACCAACAATTAGTTTGAGGCAATTTATGTGTAGTGTTTGTTCTGATGGAGACCAGAGGCCTCCGGTAGACCGTTCCGAGGAGGCTGGCGCTAAACAGCTAAGCTTTAAGCTCCGCAGAGACTGCCGGTTCAGGTAAATCAGACATAATTGACAGAAAAACAGTGGGGCCACCAC